AAGGCACTGCCGCGGGAATTCAACAGGTACGTAACACCTAGTATGTTTACTAGTGATGTTTCCGATCCTTACGAAATCTTAAAACGCTCGATTCTTAAACGAGGAGACCTAACCGATCGACAAAGGTTAGATCAACTCTTCAACAATATCGACCTGCAACACGGTTCTGCGACGGACATGTTGCAACGGATGAGAGAGGTTATAGGCCCAAGAACTTTCGACGAAGGTCTATTCAAACAACTCTTCTTGTCAAAACTTCCCCAACAGGTGCAAGCAGTTCTGGTCTCGTTCCAGAACAACGCCTTAGACGAACTAGCTGTATCTGCCGACCGCATTCTAGAAATTACGAAACCTTCTACTACCGAGGTATTTTCAGTCAAAGAAAAGCCTCACACGACTCAGAATGACATAACCGACTTATGTCACACACTCACGCGTTATCTTAGTCTTCGTACCGACCGTAAGAGATCGCGCACACCACGTAGAAGCATTTCTCGTAAGCGATCTGTCTCTAGACCACGAGAGACAGATAACCCCGACTGGTGCTGGTATCATAACCAGTATGGAAAGTTTTCCAGAAATTGCAGAAAACCCTGCAATTTTCCCAACACGAAACCGACTGATTCGGGAAACTTCCAAGCCGGCACGCGTTAACGGCAACCGTAGCCGGCGAACAAAGCCGTCTGTTATTCGTCACAGATGTGACAACGAGAGTTCGCTACCTCGTCGACACTGGCGCAGAAGTTAGCGTTCTCCCAGCAAATCCTAACGACCGACTTCACGAATCGACCCTAAACTTACAGGCGGCAAACGGAAAACCGATCGCTACGTATGGCAAAAGGTACGTTTACCTTAACGTGGGTTTACGCAAACCCATCCACTGGATTTTCGTCGTTGCAGATGTTTCTATGCCAATCATTGGTATGGACCTTCTACAACACCACAATCTGATCATCGACACTCGCAAACGGAGGCTAGTAGACGGAAACACTAATTTGTCCGTTTGCGTAACTTCTTTTACTGGTTGTAGAGTATCCCCAGTCACAGTTAAACATATGATAGACCCACTCTATCAACCACTACTCGATAAGTACCCTGGGATACAACAAACGCAAACGAAACTACCGTGTGTAACCAGCAATGTTACACATCACATCACGACTACAGGACCACCTGTATTTTCTAAAGCACGACGACTAGCTCCTGAAAAGCTAAGGTTAGCGAAAAACGAATTCGATCACATGATGGACTTAGGAATCATACGACCGTCAAGTAGCCCATATGCATCTCCGTTGCACATGGTCCCTAAAAAGGACAGCAACGATTGGCGTCCAACTGGTGACTATCGGCGATTGAACGCGAAAACCATTCCCGATCGTTACCCGTTGCCTCACATTCACGATTTGACAGCTACCTTGAAAGGTACAACTGTCTTTTCGAAAATCGACTTGGTTAAAGCGTATAACCAAATCCCTATGGCTACTGACGACATACCGAAAACGGCTATCATAACTCCCTTCGGACTCTATGAATTTTTGCGAATGCCTTTCGGTCTAAGGAATGCTGCTCAAACATTCCAAAGATTCATAGACGACGTTTTTCGAGGTCTCAACTTCGTACACGCGTATGTTGACGACTGTCTAATCGCAAGTCCGGACAGAGAAACACATCTCAAGCATCTGGACCTTGTTTTCGAACGATTACAAAAACATGGCATAACTGTAAACGTTCAGAAATGCCAATTTGGAACCGACTCGTTAGACTTTCTGGGACACACTATCGATGCTCAAGGTATCCGACCCCTTAGAACCAAAGTGGCGGCCATTCTGGATTACCCAGAACCGACCACCGTCAAGCAATTACGCACGTTCAACGGCCTGGTAAGTTTCTATAGACGTTTCATACCCAAATGCGCATTACTTATGAAACCTCTGACCGACCAACTTCGTGGAAATGCGAAATCCATTAATTTGGACGACACCGCACGAAAAGCATTCTCCACAGTCAAGGAACTGATTGCTAAAGCAACAATGCTCGCACATCAGGACACCCGAGCACCCATTAGCATCGCAGTAGACGCATCCGACTCAGCAATCGGAGGAGTCTTACAACAATGGGTTAACAACTCCTGGCAACCCTTGGCATTTTTCTCTAGAAGGTTGCTAGACACCGAATCGAGGTACAGCACATTCGGTAGGGAACTCCTAGCTATGTATTGTGCTGTACGGCATTTCCAACACTATATCGAAGGCCGTGAATTCACTCTTTTCACGGACCATAAACCGCTCACTTTCTCGTTAAGCTCTCCTTCTGACAAGTACTCTCCCCGTGAGTCTCGACAACTGGACTACATTTCGCAGTTTACTTCAGATATTCAACACATCTCTGGAGCAAACAATGTAGTTGCAGACGCTTTATCTCGTATAACTTCCTTGAACAGTTTCCAAGGAATCGACCTTCTTAAACTCGCCGAGCTTCAAAAAGAAGACAGTGATCTTCAGCACGAGTTATCGTCCACAACACTTAAACTACGCATCAAACAGATGGGAACAGGTAAGGAAACCTTACTTTGTGACACATCTACAGGTAGGGATCGCCCAATCGTGCCGAAACATTATCGACGCAATGTCTTCAACACATTGCACAAACTTTCTCATCCAGGTGTTCGTGCAACCATCAAGCTTATAGCAGAACGATTTTGCTGGCCTGGCATGAATAAAGACGTGAGGGAGTGGGCACGCTCCTGTGTAAGCTGCCAAAAATCTAAGGTTATCAGACACAATAAATGTCCCTTAGGCTCGTTTAAAACTCCCGATGCTCGTTTCGACCATGTTCATCTGGATTTGGTAGGACCTTTACCAGATTCAAATGGATACTCTTATCTCTTAACCTGCGTAGACCGTTTCACTCGATGGCCAGAAGCAGTACCTATCAAGGACAGCACTGCTGAAACAGTGGCCCGCACATTCGTCGAACGATGGGTAGCAAACTTCGGTTGCCCTTCAACCATCACTACAGACCGCGGACGTCAGTTTGAATCTGATCTTTTCCGTCGTCTGACCACACTTTTAGGAATCACTCGCTTCCGAACGACCGCCTACCATCCCCAAGCAAACGGGTTGGTAGAACGTTTTCACCGACAACTGAAAGCTTCGCTATCAGCTGCAAACGTTTCACAATGGACCGACGCTCTTCCACTCGTCTTACTAGGTATCCGCAATGCAGTGAAAGCTGACATTGGATACACTGCGGCTCAACTCGTTTATGGAACGACACTTCGACTTCCAGGAGAATTCGTGGATCCTTCGTGCTCTTCGATGAACATGGATCTAACCTCCTACACGAACAGGCTTACAAACGCAATGCGTTCAGTTAAACCTGCTTCCACTCGACCTCAATCAACTGATGTTTTCGTTCAACCTGACTTACCATATAGTACACACGTTTTCATTCGTCGAGACTCGCATCGACGACCATTCGAATCAGCATACGAAGGACCCTTCAAAGTTCTTCAACGTGAATCTAAGTACTATATAGTCGATAAGAACGGAACCAACGATAGCATCAGCATCGATCGCTTAAAAGCAGCGTATTTAGAAGGAAATCCTATCCACGTCGATTTTCCTTCGGTACAATCGAACGACACGACTCAGACACTAATAATACCTCATCCGACAACCAACGCACACGAAGATACTTCGACAGTATCCGAAAATAAACTTAAAACGACGCGTTCTGGAAGAAGGGTGAGATTTCCAGAACATTTAAACGACTATTGCACGTAAGGCACTTCTCGACATTTTATATTATTTTTTTTTTGAAAAAAAAACAATTTTAATATGCTTATATATTTTTATTTCTATTAAAAAAAACAAAACAAAAAAAACAATTTTTTAACGCTATTACGTGCTCATGAGTTTATTTTCCATTTTTTTTCCGCCGACCTTGTGTTTTTACGCATATACGAGTGTATTTCGACATGCACTTACATTTTCTTTTTTCTTTTCCAGGACGGCTGGAAAAGAACGATGACGTTTATGAGGATCCGAAATTTTCATTGTACATTTTCTTTTTTTTACTATGTTGTACCTCCGTCCCATATAGTAAGGAAAGACGACCAGACGCTGCTAAATTTAGTAAGCTATCAGAAGAGTGTTTACCAACGACAAACTCGTTGGGTTTAAACTTCTGGCTGGCCACGTCTTAGGGTCGTCACTGCCCCACTAGGGGGGGAGTGATCTGTAGCGGTAAATAAATCCCTAAAATAAATAGCTCTGTAAGTTTTCGACATTGGATGCTGACCATATGTTTTAGTGGACTCATCTAGCTGAAGGCGCTCGGTCAGGCATCCGCACCAGATCACGTGTAGTAACGCCGTGCTCAACATCAACCACAATCGCTAGCCAGATTAGATCAGAGAATCCCGGTATATTGGTCATCGCCAAATATACTCTTCCGATCTCCTCGACTCTGTCTTTTGATTTCTCTTGGTGGGAACGAAACATATTAGAAGGTGTTACTGGTAGAATGGTCCACCAGGGTGCTTGGTACCTGTGTGGTTGCGCCACAGGATTGAGCTGTACTATTCAGATTGTAGCGTTAAAGCCTGTACGGTGTCTGGTTCCTCCGCTAAACGGGGTTGAGCTGTACTGTTTTGGGTTTTTGCGTGAAAGTCTGGATGGTGTCTGGTTCTCCTGAAAACCAATGTAAAATTACCCTGGCCCACAAGGGTATATTATATAATAATAACTGTTACTGGTAGAAGCGTTGTGAAACACTGAATACCTGTGACATCATCACACGTGATGTATAGACCGAGTGATTAAAACACATAAGATCACATAAAAACAGTCAGGACTGACAAGCGAATGGCCAACAAGGTCAAAATATGGCTTGAGAAGAGTGAATACATTGGCCTGTCCAGAAATTAGAATAACCTATGTGGACTGGACATAGTACTAGGCACTACATATCTAATTCTGTGAATTTTTTCTGAATATGTTTGCTAAATTTGAAGATGTGAGAGATCTTTTCAGTGGCCTGAATTGTCTTTTACGTTGCTCGACTTAAACATTGAAAAGAAAACAAGATCGATTTTCGATAATTGAGAAAGAGAATACAAACTAAAACGCAGATTGTTAGTTGTGCAAAATATAGTTTGACTTTAATCAGTAATTCACAGAATATATTTGTCTCATTTATCGAAGTGGCTAATCTAAATATCAGTGTTACTTGAAGTGTTGAGCACATAAGTTCTATTATATCAAATTTTGAGCGTAAATACGACGCGGAATTCCGAACCCTTCAAAATGGCGCTAAGAGTACGTTCGCGTAACCCGTACATTACTTCTAAATTATAGGTTGGTGCACGATATTTCGGGCTTTTGACCAAACCCCGTGAAAAACCTGCATTTGTTAATGAGATCCAAAAGAAAATGGACAGTATGGACCTTGAGGCCAAACCTGGTGGGTTGTTGGCACCAATCAGGATTGATAACCCTAGAAAACTGGCTGTGAAAATGGTCGCATTTATGTGTCTGAGTTTCTTCCAGCCATTTGTGATAACATACTTGCACATACGGGGTGGATGATTCACAATATTGAATATTTGTGATCTGTAGATTATGAAGTTAGAATTAAAAGATGTTTGATCTTTGTGTGTTATTTAGTCCAAAATCTTTGTCCTTGTAATAACCTTTTGGATGACTACTTGTAGAATACGTGTTGCATATTCACAACTTGTATACCTGCAAATGTTTAGAGTAATGCTCTGTTATTCAGTAAAGCGTTATCCCATGCATTTGATTTTTATAGCGAGATCTTAAGTTGATGTGGTTGCTACCCGTTATTCTTTGTACGCTTAAAACATGAATGCTGCCAATATTGTTAAAAGTCCACCTCAAAATGTATCACCCGAGCCGCATATTAAATCACGACCTCACGTTTTTCTGTGCATAGTCCAGTTGGGATTCAAAAGCAGGCTGAAATGACATTTAGCTTTTGTTTCTTGTTACGTCTGTTTTGAAGTGACTAAACGTCAGCAGTCTAGGATCGGTAATTATGTTTTCTGCGCGACTTCCAGTAATAACAGTCCCCACAATCATCAAGAAATGCTGAGACTATAGTAGTTTAGGAGGTGAAATGGGGTTGATAGTATCTTAACGATTAGATAAGCATCAAGCACACTAAACTATCTGGTGATGTAGATGCCAGTGCAATGTGAAGGACGGAGTACTTATCTTTCTCAACAATAAGTCCAAGAACCACGGAAGTTTTGAAATATAAATCACACGATCCACCAGTGTTGCGTCCCTAACTTAATGATTTTTGTAACGTATTTGTATCAATGCGTAACTTCCAACGACGGGTGCTAAGGTTCGTATCTTATCCCTACTCATGCTATTAATGTTTGCCTTTATTGTGATCATAGTGAGACGTTTGTTCGACACCTTTCAACTTGTTTTTGTACAAATAGTGGTTTGATTTTACCATACAAATGGAAAAACGTCCTGCGTAACAAGTGTGAGTTAATTCACTGAAAGTAAAGTTGCTCTGACGCATTCGACTCCTTAAGTATTTAGCGGTTCCTGCTCTTGTTCTTCCATTGAGACAGATGGTTTATTTTGTGAAATCGATGCAAGATAAATGATGAATCTTTGCTGACATACTTTCATGAACTGGTTGCTTTTGGAAAACCAATACCAATGTTTAAACCATTCAGGTCCACTTAATCAACATTCGAAGATCCATAGATCATGATCAATGCTCATCGTTTGGTCGAAAACATTAAACTGAAGGTGTCATCATGGGCGTGTTGAAGATACTGGAAATTTCGAGACTGCCTAACAGATTACCCATCCTTACCGTCGAACTACTAAACTATTGCATTCCTATGTTCCCATATTCAGGGCATCCTTTCGACTCTAGTTGTTAACTTATTTACCGTTTTCTACCACGATCGCATTTCAAGTATGATCCCGAAGTCATAGCGTTGCAGTCTAATAAACCATACACGTAAACTGACACGCTTGAGGTAGATAACAGTTGCACAGCTTGCTGTGTTTTATAATTAGAATGAAGGCCAGGTTGGAAGTATACAGTTGCAGAGCCAATAGAAGTCAGTACTACTTCCGACCTTAGCTTCAAGCTCCACTTTACCAGTTGTAGCTTAGGAAGCTAGTGACAACAGAAATTGGTATATACAAGGGTAGACAGATAAAGAAGTATTAGTAAGTCGTTCTCAAGGTACCGATGTGCGTGCTAACCGCACCAGTATGATTCAGGCTGACACAGTATGACCAAGGACAGAATGTGACACAAGTATTCGGATAGCAGTAAGAAGTTGGATCACGCTTGTCGGCTCTAAATGTGGACTGACAAAAGGTCAGTCGTTAGAAGTCTGGAATAGTTGCCAGGCGTCTATATCTGCTAATGGTTCCACTGAGTCTACTTTAGTTACTAGGTACGTACTGTCGTACACTTTTGTATCGCAACGACGTGTTACGTACGCCCAACCGACGATTTATGGTGTAGGAGTAGTATGGAAGAAAGCTAGGGGCCGCCAAACCAAAACATGGCACAAGTCCGTGAAGTCACTGACAAGTGTACTGAGCATGTGGGTGTAGACTACCTGGTTGGGATCCGCGAGGCGATAGTAATTGATGGTTAGAGACCTTAAGTGACATGGCTCGAAATCTTTCGCAATGGCGCAGGTGCACCCACTCTTAGCGTTCTCCTAAATTCTAATCTGGATCCTTATGTCCCCTTCTTTCTCTTTACAAATTCATTTCACTGAATTAAACTCCTTGGATAGCATCTTCGAACCCTAATCTTTCCAAACACTACTACCTCCACCACTACGAGATTTGAATCGACCATTGTATCTGTGTGCTGATGTGGTGCGGCAACTCGAACTGATATAAGTACGTACGAAGTCTTACGTTCTTACTGACTGGTTGACACTTCTGTAGTGAAATTCATGACTTATGCGGACATTTGCTTAACTCGCGCGGATATTCATATTCCAAAGTTCCTTTCCTAGCACACACTAAAAGCAAACAGTTACGTTTTATGGTCATTTTATCTTAAGCTTGCTTACTAGGTTTTGATTACTTGGATGCCTAAACGCACTACACATCATTACGGTCGTTCACCAATATGGAGGCAGCAAGAGTCAGTTGCTAGTGAGAAGCTCTCCAATGACGTTTTAGAGATGTTTGCACTTTGTATGTATGCAATAAGCTTAATGCTATCTGTATGCACGCACATATCTCTCCCAGTCTGATTATCGGGAGCAAGATAACTAAGCACGACTAATCATTCTGAAAGCCTCGACAGCTTTGTTAAGTTAGTGGCTTAAAAAAACATTTTGGCTTCTACTAACTTACGTTAGCTGTAGTGTAGACAGTGTCGACTGTCCTATAAAAAGACAATGCTGCCCAGGTGTTGTAAATCCTGACCTAAAGGAAGTGACATGAGTGGGGCAAAATGATTAGATTAATAAGGTTTTCGGAGCGTTGCTTATATTACCAATGGATTGATGGTAAATCTAATCATGGAAGAAGCGAGAAATTGGGTTTATTGAAGGAAAAAAACGTTCAATGACTGGATGTAGACGTAAACCCAGTGGTATATACTTTCTAAATAAAGATCAAGTCGTATTCAGTGCTTTAGATGGTGGTTGGAGGTAGTCAACAGGAAACCCTGGACCCGGGTTTCGTGCTACTTGGCACTCGTCAGCAAGGTGTACCTGTAATCTTGAGGGAACTGGTGCTCCCTGGCGGGTTCGATCTCGTGTCACCCAGCTTCACAGTCAGAGACGTTACCACTGAGCAGTGTCGAGTCACCTAGACTGGTGGCCACATTGCAACATGATCGATAGCATTCGATCTGCACTAATAAGGACTAGACAAGCATGACATTGATCACCACCCAGTGATCAATCAATTCGTATTCAGTGCTGCTAAGTTCGTCTTAGTTTTTCTTACATGTAATGAAATGTTTTTGAATGGGTCAGATAAATATAGTTTTCAGTTGTAACTGAACTCATAGGGTGTCCAGTAGTATGGCGTTGATGAATTTCTAAAGTGGTTATTAGTATTATGTCGTACAGACATGTGTCTTACAATGTCACCGTTACATAAATTTAGCACGGATGAGAAATCGACAAAGTATGAGAGCTCTTTTATTTTGAACACAATGATCGTTTCCATTTTGGTGAAACTATCTACTACTGCGAACTGAATGGATGAAAATAAATGGGCTTTGAGATATAACTTATCAATCGAATATATATAAATATATGTACATATACAATTTTATAGAGCAGTAAGTAATTTATTGTTAGGGGATTGCTGATGTTCCCACGCGATCTGATGACTCTGATTGGCGGTCCAGCTGCTCCTTTAATATTCGGTCTCGAGCAGCGGCCTTTTTGCCCCTTGTAATAGCTTCAGCGAATAACGCACAGAACAAACGTACTGATGTAGGGCTATCGTCGTTACCGGGCACAGGATAGCTAATTAATCTGGGGTCCGAATTTGTATCAACTACACCAATTGTTGGGATGAGCATCTTTGCCGCATCTCGTACAGCAGAATGTGGTCTGCAGATTGAATTGCAGGTGCTGAGAAAAAGGACTAAGTCAGGTAGCCTCACAGAGTCATGAAAAACATCCGATGAGTTTGTGAAAACCCACCTTCCCATTTGCGGCAGTAAGAATACTCGCCAACATTTTCAGCAGTCCTTTCAATTAAGGGTAACATCTGGCAATGAAAGGATAAAGTAGGTTAAGATTAAAGCGGGCAGCGATAGAGTAGATTGCTACGAAGTAAGCTGTGTGACTTCGACTATAGTACAAATCAATGGATAATCAATATAGTTGCGGGGATATATGATGGTCCAATTTGCCATAACTCACACCGAAACAAAAAGATGGGCATGGAGCCGGATGCTATTAGTAACATGGAACCAAAAAGTAATAAGCTGCAATAGGAAACCGGAAGCATGTAATAGTACGATGTTAAGAACAGAGGTCATACCACTATAACTTTCTAAGTATCACCGCTTGAATTATTCAGCTACAGATTTTGGATCAGCCTATACGGATAAATCAACCACAAATAAAGGTTCGGGATGAGGATGCAACGACCCAGTTTACCACACGTTAATACGTCAATAAAAATGACAAGACGGGAAACAAATGAGGAAATAATAATACGAACGGTGGCGCAAAGCTGACTTCACCGTCGGACCTTGCGTCTTCTGCTTCTAGTTTAGCCGCTTCCCAAACAACGTGTAGAACTCCCAGGTATATGTTCCAAACAGTATAGCTCGAAATATAGTGAATTCAGGTTGTTCTGCCATATTTGTTATTCTTGCCCTAAATAGATTCACTAATCGGAAAAGTTGTATGTAATATAGCTCGGTTCGCAAGTTAAGATAGACAAGCCAGATTACTGTGTCAAAGTAACGTGTGCAGTCGGGTAGGGGAGATTAGTGTTTTCATCGTTTAAAACAATACATTCTCTATCAGCATGTTACTATACACTCGTTTATCCCAGCTGCACTGCACCTCTGACAACATAGTAATTATTATTTGTTTATAAACTCACCTAAGACAACAACCTTAATGGTAATTTTTCAGTTATTAACTAAAACTTCAGTTGCAAAAGACGAGTTGATCTACTTACTTGTTTATTCTGGTACATAAAAAGTATTATTCCTTGACGGTAGGCAATGTGAGCCGCGAAATTAAGTGCATCAAACATCAAAGAACATGTCTGTTGTAGATCAATTATGTCTACACCTTGTCTACAACCGTATATGTATGGCTTCATGTATTCATTGCGTAACGCCGATCGGTGACCCAAATGAACACGAGCTTGGAATAAATCCGTAACATTAACCAAGTTCTTAAGACCAAAATAATCAGGACAACTTAAAGGATTCTCGAAATAACTGGGATGTGAATAGTTGTTTTGTTTGTTTTTCTCAGATCCACTTGTAATTATATTTTTCCTGAGGAACAAAAATGTTTCTAAAACCGCAATAATGTATTAAAATATATCTCCCAACACTCTGAATAAGAACAACAAAATGATTAACACTTTATGACTGGAAAATATCGAAATCAAAAAAGGTAACGTTTAACATGTGTTGTAACTATTTCAGTCAATAAAGAACCAGTCTGCACTTCCTTAGTAAACTATGTCTGACCTCAGTACTACTAATTCGATTATTGCACCATGCAGCAACAATGTTTTGGAGAAGTCCTTGGTTAGATACTATTGATCTACACACGTCTTCTATCTATCCCATCCTCGATTGCAAGGAAGTATTTACGTATAGTATACTTGCCATTTGTGAGCAGATCAAAATCCTACGTAACAGAGATTAGCGAAATCCATTCCTAAACAAGGAGGATCTAATAATGTCAAAGCACGAATTAACAAAACATTGTTACAATCAAAGAATATCTAGAACTCTAAACAACTGTCACTCAAGATTGAAGTTAGGATTCTAAACAATAACGTTAAAACAGTTCCATTGTATGAAGATGAAACTACCATCATCACAACCAAAATATTAAAGGTATATACAAACAACTGTTTACATAAGATACTTCAACCCATTAGCCAAAAATCATCAGTAATAACCTGCACTCCAAGGTAAAGAAAACGATCTTTCAACTGAGGAAATCAGAAAAACGCTCGAGGCGAATAGGACGCACTTTACGGAAATTACTAAACTGCACCACAAAGCAAGCACTAACTTGAAATCTCTAAGGCGAAAGGAAAGGGGGCAGATCAAAGGACATGTCACTGAAGTCTGGGGGTGGACGTCAAGACTACGAGTAGCACTTGACAACAGTTGGACCGAAGGGCTAAAAACAGAGTTGGCTGGAGATTATTGGTAATCGACCTGTGCCCCATCAAGAGTAACAGGTAAGGATATAGATACCGGGACAACTGGGCACCAAAGTAAGTATGTGTCACAAATAATGAAATAGAGTTGTGAAATATAGGGGAAGGGAGGTGCAAGCAAAAATACATTCGAGCGTTTTGGAATTTAATTTTAAGTAAACTACTGCGAAATCGTTTATTTGAACTACAAATGTTCTAGGTAAATTTGTGGTATTCATACAATCATTTTCAATAGTTTGCTTCACTTTCTATAAAAGGATTTTGAGATTCAAATATTCAATCCCAAACAAAGTGACTGTCCTAGTGAATTCAAGAAGTTCCAAACTGTAGTTTGTGAGACAGTATAAGACCGGAGCCATTGCAGCAACGTCTAACATTCATTTAATCTTTCTATGAATTTAGGGTGTGATTTTAAAGTTCTGTGGATTCTCACAGATCCCAGTGAACTATGACCGTGTGCATTATGTTTATATATTATGTTTACGACAGCTGTTGGGGCACGAAAAACATATGAAGGGATAGGAAATGTATACAGATCTTATGCTCAAAATTGGACTTTACAACTGTCAGTCGAACAAACTAGTGAGTAAAGATAACCACCTGTAAGAACGTGAAATAAACTTTCGAAATATAAACACGCGCTGGTAGTAAAAATTTTATCAAGGTATATAAAAAAACTAACGTACTATGATTACTCTTCAAAAGTGTCTTAGAAAGCATTTCAAGGTGTAGTGTCAGTTTATGTTATTAAGTATTCGGCCAGGGACCAAAGTATGCGACCTTGTAGCCAAAAGTGGACAGTCTAAACGGCAGAAAAAAGAAAGCTAATATGAGGCATAGCTAGTAAACACTATTCAGCACCAGTTGTATTCAAAGCTTCACACAACACACAAACTAAGTGAGAAGTTACACACTAACTTTGACTAAAGATCGCCTTCTTCAGTGTAAATGGATGATGGAATGACAGCTATTTACTCGTGAAGTAGATAACACTTGGAGAATGATTTATCGGTGGGTCGACTCATGTGTGTGCTCAACAGGTTGAACGCGTGAACCGACAGTCCCTGAAAACGGCCTGAGAGAATGTATACACGAAAGTTAGCAAAACTTAAGAAATTCCAGGGAGGAGTATGAGGCACTATTTATTAATGACTTTATATTGCCGAAAATGTCCGTTTTCATACATAGATTGGACAGTTTACTGGCAAAGTATGGTAGCGATGAGATGATGATTTATGGACGAACTAATCAGGTATAAGATAATAGGTCTCAGATTTTAACGTGAAACTCACTCATCCATTTGCTTAAATAGAGTTTTGGCATTACAGCTTATGTCGGTTCGTGATGAGGACCCTAAATTCAATTCCTAACCTTAATCACCAACTGCAAAACATAATTTTAAGTCCTTACACAGGTTTATAACCCTCGTTTGGTCCTAGATATTAGGTGGACATTCTTAAGGTCAGTCTAGCGTCGCTCAAAGGTCGTCCACAAGTTAGTCCCACCATGGGAACTTGTGGAATACATCCCAATGTACTGAAGGAACCCACACATTTTGTCAAAAATATGTACATTTTCTAACCCATCTCTAACTCAAAGTGACTTTTAGAATAATTTACGTGGACAATCAAAAGTCTCACAGGTCATAGCAAATTACTTCCCAGCCGAATTCTCCATCCGATCATTGATAAATGGAATCTTCAATCTAGATTGCAGCCCCACGTGTCGATTAATCCCACCGTAACTGAGTCAAACGACGGGACGAGTGAAAACCTTATGCAACACAGCCTTTGGTGGGTTGTCGTCTAGACTAAAGATACCTTATCTGGGCCGTGCCCGTAACAGTATGTTGGTTCCTTTAGGAGAAAAAAGAGATAGCTTGAGTAAGCGATTAACAACCACCAGAAATAACACAAACATAATGTTAAGACAATCTGACAAACGAAACGAATAGTACCAGGTCGAATCTGCCTCCACGACCTTGAGTGGCTGTGTTCAGGGCGGATATGCCATATCTGAAGGTCTCTTTGTTGGTTGAGTGTGTTAGCTTACACGAACTTGTAGTATCCGCATAATCAAGTAGTCTATTGACATTTAAATAAGGAGAAGAGTTGTTTAAAATTGCTTCAAGTGCGCTGTCTTTTTTAGGGCAAACATTGCGTCTGTTTTTGAGTAATTGTTGATTGTAATGCTGCCTTTATACTAGCTTTGTTGAATATCGTATGATACTCTCAAACAATGTAATATTGGCAAATAAAATGACATGCAACTCTATGAACTGCTTATATACGTTAGCAAGGAAATGTCTGCCTATCGCACAGCAGTTGGAGTAGTTTCTAAGTCTTGGCCAACAATGATTCCTATGTGATTGTATCTATGGATAACAGGAAGCTCACTATCATTCACCGTGTATGTATCTGTACTTTAGTGACCAACATGCACTATGATGAACTTGGAGGCACTTATCGGCAACTGCCAAATTTTGAACCAGTCAGAAAATTTCTCCGAGTCATTTTTGAGCTCTAAACTATCATCTTTATCTTTTATCGCTCTCCATGTCTTAACATCATCAGCAGTTAACAAGACCAATGATGATATTAGACGAGGAAGGACATTTACATAAAAGAGGAACAACACTAGCCCCAAAGCTGTACCCTGACGCGCTCCGCTAAGCGCAGTTTTCAACTAGACAACTTTGGGTCCACCCGTACCATATGTTGACTTTCAAATAAAAATCCATTATTGTTAGTTTAATAGACATTACCTCTGTTGTCATAAAAGTGGCGGAAGGTAACATTAAAAGAAATTAAAGAAACTGCGAGTTAAATCACTTCAAAGGCCGTTTAAAGTAGTCTCCAAAAAAGTGAAATCACCAAGTAAGAGAACTCATGCTTAAGGTGAGTTGGAGTGAATCCAGGAGGCTCTGACACAAATAGAAGCCCTTCTAAGAGACACTGACGACTGTTCTTATATGGTACAAAGAAACAGATGCAAAAACTGATAAGCATTGAGAGGGAGAATTTTTAGACTAGTTCAACTCAAAATAACACCCAAGGTTTATGAATTTACATAAGCCAACCACTCCAGGTGGTTGAAGAACCTTAAGCTAACTTGACCTCTTCCATCAAAAATATAAAAACCTAGTGGAATGCCGATCTTAGTAAGGTTTAGCTCATCATGAAAAATCTGCAGTGGAAATAAGTCCCTTAAAATATGCAGCTCTTAAAATACTTAACGTTGACCCTCAAATTGTTAGTTATAATAATTGCACCAACAATTTGATTAGAAAAACGGTGGTTTACATATTCTTGACGATTTTAAAACTAGAATATTCAATGTAAATGTTAGGGTGCTTTGTGGACGCCGTATTGCAGTGAACGACTGATGGTCGCGACACAATGCAAATGAAATTCAGGGGTGTTTACGATGAGGAATATTGCTGTAGATTCATGAATTTAAGTTAAAAATGCCATTTTTAACACACTTGGTGCTTCCTATTAGTGTTCTCTAGATAACTTCTGTAATAGGCTTTCGGTATGACAAATTCTAGTTATTTGTAACATATTAGAAGTATTAATGAGGCGTCGGATGGATCCATATGCTCCGCATATGGATCTTCAGTGTTGTATAACAATCATACTTGACACAAAGTCCGGCGGCCTGCTTGAATATCTGGGCTACCTGTTCCTTCGATCTATATATTTCTTCAAGTTATCTGTTTTGTTGTTCGTTTTAGCATATCAATATGTCTATTGTGCTCACAATCTATTCGGGCGCGTTTATGAAAAGTTTACAACCTTTCGCTATACGGGATACAGAAAGGTACAATCAGCGACATCATGGTGGCTGGCAATATGCATTGAAACGAATGAACATTAATCAAATGCGGATTACCGAATTCCTAACATCTAACTGGTCATCATTCGAAATTTATCGTCACAATCGATCAAGGTATAAGAAAAAGAAACTTGTTGAAATACTTTATGCTGAGAATTCTATGTTGTACGAAAAGTATAATGTTGAATAAAGCTTCTTATAATAATAATAATATCTCCTTGTCCTTTTAAACATATTTAACTCCAGATTGTCCTTTGAAATCAATTTTGGCTTTCATAGCATCAATCTTAATTATTATTGCACAAATGTTTATACTAATATCCGGTTTCACTCTGTATACTATGACATAAATCTAAATGTATTCATCCGAGTGCTTTAACGGATTTTTATTTTATTTTTTCAATTGCTGGTTTCCTTCTGAGGTTGATATTCATTACACAATTGTTATTCTTATCATGGATCAAAACTTTTCACTAAGTGTTCACTTCTTTTCTCTCTTCTTTCCCTCTAAATAAATATTATTCTTAAGATTACGAAGTTCGTAATTAAAACAATAACTTGCGTTACACTTAAATTAAATTCTCAGACCCGTTTTATCTTCACTATGCATATATGACTCATACATATTGATATTTTATTATCCTTTTCATTTAATTTTAACTTATGGTGTCATATATTCAGTGATTTTTGTAACAACAAAAATAGAAACCATTTTTTCTTTGTAATTTGTCACACTTTATTTGTAACCACAATTTTATTCAATATCTGTTGTTTTGCTGTATCACTTGTTAAAAAGACGATGATAATTGTTTCGATGAATGATATACACTTCTACTACCGGGTTGTTTAAAATATAGAACACTATCTACGCCGTTGTTCTTCTGTTTTATTGGCCACCGTTTTGATTGAAGACTATAATAGTATTATAACATCATTATAGGCCTTCCGACTCAACGTTGGACTTTTGGCGCGGTTTACTATTGTATAATACTATTGGACTCCGTCTTCCTCATTACGTCTTTGGTGCAGTCACTTGCAGAGGAACACCTGTCAATCAAGTGAACTCAGTTTGTGGTCGTTGTCCTCACGAGGCAGTTAACAAGTAACATTCATTCTATAGTAACTGTTAGCGTCTGTTTGTTTAATATACCTTTTGTATTGCTAACGGTATTTTATTACCTTTGTTTTTACTAACGGACAGACATCTAGGTTTCTTAACCATTAATTTGTTTTGGTATATCATTGTTAACCTAGTGTATCAATATATCTTGTGTAAGCTCCTTTTGTTTGGGGACCACCACAAATTTGGTGAGCCCGTAAAATTTTTTTTTTTACTCGAAACTACTTTTGAGTTCACTTACAGACATTACGGCGTTATTTTACCCTTGGTAGTATTTAAATTTTCGTATATTTGTAATGTACTCATCCGAAACTGAAGGCATTAGCCAGGATAACATTTCAGCAGAGCTACACGCTCTAAATTTGATAAATGTGCCCCCATTCAGCCGATTAAATCCTCGCATTTGGTTTGCGCAAGTAGAAGTACAATTTCAGCGTCGCAACATACGCTCACAGGCATCTAAATACTCTTTTGTGCTTGGATTACTACCCACTGAAGTTGCATCTGAGGTGTCAGATTTGATAGATAATATTCCTGCACCGAATCCATATGATCAATTGAAGCAGGCAATTATTCAACGTACCTCATTATCTGATGAAAAGAGATTACAGCAATTACTGCACCATTGTGAGCTAGGCGACAAATCACCGTCTCAATTATTACGACACATGAGACAATTAGCTGGCCCATATAAATTTGATGACGCCTTCCTCAAGGAGATTTGGCTACAACGTTTGCCAACAGTAGTTAGGCAAATTCTTTGTGCCTCTAGCCAAACATCAGATTTAGAGAGTCTTGCTAACATGGCCGATAAAATTTTAGAAGTTACACCCGGTACAACACCTTACGTACAGGCAATATTAGAAACTTCGAACGATAAGCAAACTCCCACCATGGCATCGTTAACTGCTGAGCTAGGCGAACTGCGAGCACATCATGAACGAACTGTCGCTAGTCTTGAAAATAAACTGGATGCACTACAATTATTAATCTCCAATTTCACATCTACAAGACCTCGTTCTTGTTCTCGAGGGAGTAAGAATCGAGATAACTCAAAAGGAAACAAAAACGACGACAACATATGTTGGTACCATAAAAAATATGGTGACAAAGCTAGGAAATGTGTTACGTCTTGTAAATTTTTCAAGTCATTTTCCTCACCAAAACGTGTCAACCAAACCATGGTAGCGACAAATGTTTCTGGTCGTGCGCCTACTCGTCTTTTCCACGTTCTTGATAAAACTTCAGGCTACAAATTCTTAGTAGATACTGGAGCTGAAGTTAGTGTCATCCCAGTTACCTTAGCCAATAAACCTATTGCTAAGAGTGGAAAATATACCCTAAGGGCAGCTAATAAAACCGAAATAAAGACATTTGGTGAACAATTTCTAACATTAGACTTGGGAATTAGACGTAATTTAACCTGGGTGTTTATTATTGCGGATGTCCGTCACCCTATACTAGGTGCAGATTTTCTAAGTTTCTACAACCTACTAGTTGACGTTAAGAGAAGAAAACTTATTGATTCCTGCACGAACCTTCAAATCCAGGGAATTCAGTCGGACTACCACATACATAGTATTAAAATTGACACCCCAGGAAACGACATATTCGCCACCATTCTATCTAAATTTCCCAAAATAACGAAACCAGACTACAGTGAAAACACTGTCCAACATTCTGTAGTACACCGGATCATCACAAAAGGTCAACCAACTTCGGCACGTCCACGCCGATTACCACCAGACAAACTGAATGTTGCAAAAGCTGAGTTTGATCATATGATGCAGCTAGGTATAATACGTCCGTCAAGTAGCCCCTGGGCATCCCCACTCCACATGGTGCCCAAGCGAGACCAAGATTGGCGACCCTGTGGTGATTATAGATCATTGAACAACCTGACATTACCGGATCGCTACCCAATCCCTCATTTACATGATTTTTCTCTCACTTTACATGGCAAGCAAATTTTTTCTAAAATCGATCTTGTGCGAGCGTACCACCAGATACCAGTAGCATCCGAGGACATTGCAAAAACAGCCATCATTACTCCA